TTAGAAACAAATGCATGAAAGAAAAAAACATTTAAAATACATATCTTAGGCTTCATTTTCCTAACATCACCTTATCTGACCTTTTCTGCTTGACTGATACATATACTAGATATTGCAAATAAGGGAAATCATGGGACCTATGTTTCTTTGGGCTTGGCTTACTTCACTTAGTATAATTTTTTCCAAGTCTTTCCATTTCCTAACAAATGGGGCAATATCATTCTTTCTGATGGAGGCATCTGAGATGAATTCTTAAACTCCTCTGAATCAACACAAAAGTTGTCTACTTGATTTCTTTATGCCTTGCCTGTAACAGGTAGAGAGCAATAGAAAGGTTTCAAAGTATTCACCATCTCAGTTATCAACAACTAGGTTTCTAGGCTACTCTGTGGGATGGAGCAATAGCCTCAAGTTTAGGATTTAATAGATGTACAAAGCTAGCTGAAAACTAGTGTTTCTCAAAAATACTTCAGTAAAGAGCAAGAGCTCTGTTCCTTGTGTGACTTAGTACATGAAAGAAAAATATCTGAGGTATTTTCAAACAGAGTCATTGACCTTTGAAATAAGTTTGTGTGCATTGCTTTAACCTGTTTAATGTGATTTTTAATATGTCTAGATTGTGCGTTGGTAGTATAATGTAGGAAAATATATATGGTATTTTATTATGGATATATGTAAAGAATAGAGAGATATGAATTATCACTTCCTCAAAACATTACCTTATAATCAAAAAGGCTGATATATAGAGAGAGAGATAGTAACATATCTATACATATTTATAATTACATATGTACATATGTAGTTAATTATCTATATAAATATATATTTATATATCAGCTGGTCTTTGGGCTTGAACTCAGGGCCTGAGAACTGTCCTTGAGCTTTTGTACACAAGGCTAGCACTCTATCACTTGAACCACAGCTCCACTTTCAGCTTTTCTGGTGGTTAATTGGAAATAAGAGCCTGACAGACGTTCATGCTGTGTCTGGCTTTGAATTGTAATCTTCGGATCACAGTCTCCTGAGTAGCTAGGATTGCAGGCATGAGCTACTAGCACCCAACTGAAAGCTGATATTTTTGAAGATATTCTGTGTTTTGGTTTGTGGTGGTGGTGGTGGTACATGAGTATGAACTTAGAATTACTTTATCATTTGACTGGCTTGCTTATTTGGTATGCTACTAGTTATGCCACACCTCCAGTCTGGCTTTTTGCTTTTTATTTTGGAATTGGAGTTTCATAAACTTTTCTGCCAAGGAAGGCTTTAAACTGTGATCTTCTAAATTTCAATCTCCCGAGTAGATAGGATTACAGGCGTGAGCCAGTGTTGCTTGGGCCTTGTGTATTGTACTCTTAAGCATGTGGTGTGATTTCTAAGAATGAGAGATATTCTCACATACACTGATGGGCCTACTGAAATGATCTACAAATTTCAGATATTTCCTTTGTTTTTGTACAGAAATACCTATAACTTGAGACTAGGTATTAAATATGTTTTATTCTATGCATAGTAAGAGTTAACATCTTTCTTTACATAACTATAGAGACCTTTCTGTGTCTCTTTCCTCTTGCTTTATCCTTCCATATACTCCTGTACACACATGCATGCATACACACACCACATATACACATATAACTATATAAACATGGATAATAAAAGTGTATATATATATATATATATATATATATTTCCAAAAGATTATTGAACCATAAAATTGCACTTGAACATATTTTTGGTAGTTCTATGCAAGTATATTTGGTATAAGTACTTATATATGTTAAGTATTTTTCATCTTTGTTCTTTATTCATATTAAATTAAGGAAAATTTTATTTCTTTAAATACCTTACTAATAAACAAAATTATTATTTTAAAAGAAACCATTTATTCTAATGGGTGAGAAGCAAAATCCCTAACATAATTCACAATTAAAACTATATCTGTTAAATATTGGCACAACTACAATGGTATTTGTTTTCATTATAAGTAAATGTTTAGAGTCACACAACCAAGTATTACATACACTGTTGTTACTTAGGGTAATTCTGCTTATGATTTTTAAGTTCTTATATATATATATATATATATATATACATATATATATATATATATCGTTAATATATAATTTTAGCAAACCCTTATTTTGAAGGCTTCCAAGGTACTTTTAGAAGAAAAATGTTTTATAAAATTATCTCAAAATGCCTGTATCATGATATAAAAATCCCCAATTTTTTTCATGTTTTTGTTTTGTGCTGGGGTTTGGATTCTGAACTTCCTCACTTGACATTTTGACTTGAGTCAGATTTCTACTGTTTGGGTTTTTTATTGGTCACACTTAGCTTCCTTCAATGTGCTATCTTCTTACCATCTATCTCCTATGGGGATGGAGCTGTCTGCCTGAGTTCAAGAATTCAGTCTCATGCATGGTCTGAGTTAACATATATAGTTAAGGTTATCCTTAACTATATATGTTAAAGATATATATATATATATATATATATATATATATATATATACATGGTTATATATTATCCTTATATAATACATATAAAGATATATATTAAATATATTATAAGGATAGATACATATCCTTGTATATGTACATTTATATGTATACATAACATCCTTATACATGTATATATGTACATATATGTGAGTATATCCTTTATAATATATATAGAAGGATATGTAACATATATAAATTAAGAGTTATCCTTGGGCTGGGAAGGTGGCTCAGTGGTAGAGTGCTTGCCTCGCATGCATGAGGCCCTGGGTTCGATTCCTCAGCACTACATAAGCAGAAAAACCCGGAAGTGACGCTGTGGCTCCAGTGGTAGAGCGCTAGCCTTGTGCTGAAGAGCTGAGGGACAGCACTCAGACCCAGAGTTCAGGCCCCATGACTGGCAAAAAAAAAAAAGGGTTATCCTTAACTATACATGAATGTTCACCTGACAAATAGTCTATGAATAGTAGAATATTCAGTAGAATAGTATAAATATTCAGTGTAGTTAATAATGCAAAATAGACTTAGATTTCACAAAATACAGAGAGAGTGCTTCCATCTTTGTCATTATTTAAATAACTCTAAATAACTTTTTTCTTTTATAGGCATTGATAAATGTTCCCAACTCAATTTCGGAAACAAGTTTACCTCAAATGAGCTTTAAATAAACTTCCTAGTACACTAGAGGTGAGGGGAAAACAAAGGAGGAGGTAACAATATTCAATAGGAAATGTACTCATTACCCTACTCATGTAACTGTAACCCCTCTGTACAGTATTTTTACCGTAAAAATATATATGAAAAAAAAACAGAAAGAATCTGTGTTCTGTGTTATTCATTTAATATGAAAATGTATATTTTTCTTTTCTTTTTTATTAGTAGTGATATCAATAAGATATGTATTTTAGAACAGTTCTATAAATTTATTCCTAAATTTTAAAAATAATCCAAATGTCCTAAATTTATTTTTAGAGTGTACGTATAACCAAGCATGACTTAAAATGGAAATAATGGGATCTGATATGCTGAAATGTCTCAAACCACACTAGACTAGAAATTAATAAATCATGTCATGGGTTAAATCAATTAACATATTTATCATGTATATGTTTTTGAAAACTATTTTGTCCCAGTGATAAGATGCTGTGTTTTGTAAAAATAATACTGTAGTCAAAAATAAGCAAGCATAATATTTCTGCACCATAAGCTGTTCTTTGCTGTAAGTCATTGATACCTACCTTCTGGCTACTGTTGAAAATTGCAAGAGAGTAAAATGACAGTGATTTAACCATTTCTAAATAAGGCTCACCCCTTTGAGCCCACTGCTGTCTCTACCACTTTCCTATATACAAGACTTTTGAGTAGTAGTTTGAGGATATTTAAAATGTTGGGTCAATGAGCAAACTGTCTCAGTTATTCCTATTACATTGCATTTGTCTGTTTTGAGAATTTTGAGAGCTACTGTCATTCTTGACTCAAAGACCTAAACTCATAAAACTGTACCATAATGATAGCATTATAAAACATTAGTGACTTCTTAATACTTTGTTAATTTCAATTTTATCAACGCTCATTACGTGCCCAGGTTGGTTATCTGTTTCTTCACTCATTGAAACATTAAAAATCATCCAAGTCCTCTTAGAACATACGTTGGTAACAACACAGAGACTCTCTTGTTTCTTCTTACATTAGTTAAAGATACTGTAACCTTACTTAGTAAATACTTCTGACAGAAGTTCTAAACTTCTTTTGTTAATGAAAAAAAACTTTTCTGATAAATCCAGGACTTAATAAACATAATTAAAAGTTTCTAGCTGGGTGGTTGGTGCCCTTGACCTTAACCATTTGCCCAAATAACATTTATTATACAGAAGTTGACACTCCTACCTTAGGAGGAAGATAGATAGAATTTGAGGCAGGCTACAGTTCTGCTATGTCATAAACTACTTCTGTTTCCTCTGACATGTTGTTTAATGGTTGTGTGACAAAATTTTCTGACCTGAAAATGAGAATAATCTATTTTACAGGTCCAATTTGAAATGCAAGTAAGATAATGCCTTTAAAATATTTGGCTTAGTGACAGACATATATGAGTTCTTTAGGTATTGTCAACAAATTCACACCAGTGCTTGGCCTGAAGTGATAATTTGTGCCTGTGTCAGAGCTCTGCTTCCATCACCTCTACACACACGTTCCTAATGCATCATCACTATGAGGAAACAGTGTTTACCCTTATTTAAACAAATGTTATTCTAAAATCTATTCATCTAATATGTAAATGTATCTATTGTATCTATTATTCCATATAGCAAAAGGTAAGTGAGATTAATAAAAATAGATGTCCTACACAATTTTATTGTTTTTCTATTACAAACTGTTCAGTGTAGTTTTGGAACTTCTAAAATGCCTATTAATTTTCAGTGTGATACATTTACTTCTCTAATCAGAATTATAGAGTATAGCATGTTTAACAAATTCAATTCTTACCTTACCTTACAGATTTATTGGCCTGCTACTAAAGAACGAGTGGAATTATGCAAATTAGCTGGGAAAGATGCCAATGTAAGTATGAAACGTTAAAATTATCTTTGCTAAAGGGGTGCTAGTATTATTACAAATAATATTAAATATTAAATATTAAAATTATCTTTTCTAAATTGGTGCTAATATTGAAAACTCTAAGCATTATCATTTTCTTTACATGGCATATTTAAACATATTAAAAGATTAAAAAAGAAATCATAAGGAAAAATCACATTTTAAGGGATGCATATCCCTTAAATGCATATTTCATTATTGTGCATGCATTTTGTAAATGTACACAAAACTATCAGTGTTTTAGCATCACAAAGATACAATTGATATTTAATTGGAAGTTAAATTTATAACAACTGAAAGACATTTTCATAGAGATAACAAGTCAAATTGCTTCAGAAAGAATGGTGAATTCTGGCATGAAATCGAGAAATAACTTAGCCTCAATTTTACTTAATGATAATTACATGAAATAATTCAGACTTTCAAATAGATGGTCTTAATATAAACTTGTAGATTAAACCACCCTAAGGACTGTACAAACAGTACAAATACTAAGACTCAGCTATGATTCTTTGGTGTAGTGCTGTCTGGATTATTTTTGCACTTTGCAGGTTGACCTGTCTATTCTTCAAATACTTTTACCTGTCTTGCATCCACCTATGGCTGAAGAGAGCTGTGGCTCTGTTCCCTGCACTATGTGCTCTGATGCAAGCTGGGCACTCTGTTCTGCCCTGACTTAATGTGCATTTGGGGGGAACAATTATTCTTTTAAGCAAAATAAATTATAATTTCAATGTAAATCAAAATGAAAATAGACTCCAACCTTGGCTAGAAACATGTATATTTTGAGGTTACTTTTACAACATGTTCTACTGTTACCTTGTATCATATTAGCTCAAGAGTTGTAAGCTGGATGGTGCTTCCATATTTAATAATAACAAATAGTGTGTTTATGTGAAAGCAAAGATTTTAAAATGAATGTAGTATAAGTATGGCAATAGGACAGTAGATGCCTAATGAAATGAAGAGAAGCTCAGAAGAATAGGAATTGGAGACAAGAAGTTAGTTCTTCCTGTTGATCAACAAAGAGGTAATCTATCCTGTGGACCTCTCAGTGATTGAAAGGACAGCGGCATGAGTCAAATGATCACTTCCCTGTAATAAAGAATTGCAAGCCAAAATAGAAACAATAATAAAAAAATGAATTTGTGGTGTTATCTGATTTTGCATTCCATTATTCTCCTACACAGTTATTTTAAATGAAATGTATCAGGAAGTGTTAGTCTCAAATGCAATAGGATACAGATTTACATTAACCTCAGGAGAAAAGAAAATGGTTAGACCCTTCTAAGAAAAATATTTTCTCCTCCTCATGTAATAATTTTATTCTGTTCAATGCATTCATACCAAGAAGATTCCCATATCTGAAAAAAGGGTCAATTCTTTATTGAATTGGCAAGTACTTCCAAAGATATTTTATCAAATATGTTGGAAAAACATAGTATAACTTCTATGAATATTTTTTGATATTTTGTACATTACCAGTAATGAACATTTGCTGAAGAAGCCAGTAGAAAAAAGATGTATTGAATTTACTACATATATAGATTAATGCCAGCTTTCCCATGGGTGAGATGCAGCACAAGCACTCAAGGTCATATAATGAGTAAAGTTTTACACTATAACCATGCTCTCCTTTCACTCTGTCCACTATTTCCAGTTATACAGTAACTTCTTTGTCCCTCTTATTAAGGCAAAAGGTGATCTCTTTTTCTGCAAATAGGATTCTCCAGCACACAGGCCTCTCTATAGTACATACTTGCCTAATTCAATTTTCTTTCTGTGCTACTAATCTCCTCTAGCTTAAGATTTGTAAGGTTAAACCTGGATTGGAGATTTGCAGTGTATTTCCATTTTTACTAGAGTCTCTCAAGTTTGAAGTTTAAAAACTGACAGCAAATGCCTTTGTCTCTGCAGTTTAAACATTTATTATTGCAAAAGATTTATTCTTGATAGTTAACACTTTAATCAGAGTGATCAAATTCAAGGAACTACTTTCACTGCCTTCATTTACAGTCTCATTTAAACTTTTCAAAACACTATATAATGGGTTTTTATTATTGTTCTTTGCCCTGTGGATGAGAAAACATAACCCAGAAAAATTAAATGACTTGCTCAATATCACCCACCTGGAAAATACTGGAGCCAGGAATTAAATCCAGAAGTCTGGCCACATAGTCTATGTTTCTACCTAACACTGTTAAATCTACAAATAGGATTTTTAAACTGTCTACCTCTCAAAATATGCCTCTCTTCAATCTCACCATAATGTAGATCATCCTTTTGAACAACATTGCCTAACAAAATACTGAGATCAATCTGTAGTTTTATTGACTTCTTTTATTATCTTTGGCATTGCCCCCTCTCCTCCCTTCTCTCTAGTAATTTTTACCTACTTCCAAGAGTGTGTTTAGGATTAACAAGTGTTTGGAAAGACTCTCTTTACACAAAGGTACTATATAACAGCGAAAGAGTGAATTATTCACCGTAATAAACTTAGCTAATTGGAGTGGGGAGGTAATGAAAGATGAGGAAACAAAAGGGAACTATTCTACTTTTGAACAGAGTCCCCAGTTTAATCCAAAGAAGAGGTGACATAAGTATTTTGCAGTATTTTGCTTCTGATCAAGAGAAGATTATTCAAAAGAAAGCCACTAAGGAAATGTTTTTAGTCCTGACTATGAAACGGGTTGAACAACTCAGTCCAGACAAAAGAAAGCTGAAGGTGAGGTCAGCCTGGGCTCTGTTTGTCAGCTTTGCAGTAGACATGCTCAGCCTTGCCAGTAGAGACATTACATAGAGAAAAGGATCTTCCAGCTATAAAATTCTGTGGTTATATTATTTCTTTGTTTTTACTTTAAACAAAAATCTCAGCCGAAAACAAAGTGTTTGCTGTACAATTTTGCAAATTACATACAAGAAAAAATTGTAAATACATCCTTTCATATAAACACTACCCAGAAAGAGCTGGTGATACCTGGATGTTTCTTCTTCTGTTTTATCTCATTGCTATTCCATAAGAATGAAATCTTCTTCTGTTTTATCTCATTGCTATTCCATAAGAATGAAATCAAATTGTGTATAAAATCCTTTAAAATATTTTTCCACTTTTCAGACTGCTGTGAGCATTTTCCACATAATTAAATACTTTGAGAACATTAATTTTAATAGCTTTATACATTATTATATCAACTAATGTTAGACACTTTATGGGTACTCAGTTTTTATTATTACAAATGATGCTGCACAAGAAGGGCCTTATATATAAAAATTGTTAAGATCTCTGATTATCGAGTAGACTTTTTCTAGTTAAGGATGTGAAATTTTTGATGCACATTACTACGTTGTCCTACAGAAAGTTCATGTCTCCTTTGTTCTAATCAACAGTGTGTGATTATGAGAATTTCTATTTTCCCTACCTTGCTAATATTTTATACAGCTTAGAACAACTATTTTTGCATACATATATAACAAATAATTAATTACAAAAACTTTTCTAATGAGAGGAAAATTATTTTTTTCCAGTTTAGCTTGAAAACCTTTCATCACTACAAAAACTAAATATTTTTCACTTGTTAAATTGTGTTTTCATGGACATGCCTATAGCTGTTTATTTTTAATTTTAATGTTTTGTCTACCTTATTAATTACTTTCAGAGTTCCTAGACATATGCACATGTAGGTAGACAGAGAAATAGATAGATGGATAGATTAATAGATAGATATTATATGAATATGTGTTGAGTGTATTATTATTATCATATGCTTCTCAGTTATCAATTACTTCATTTGAGATATAGGCTTTTAAATATTTTAATAATAATATCTCTCATTTAAAAAAAATTAACATTTTTTTCAAAGCCGGGTGCTGATGGCTCACTCTTGTAATCCTAGCCATTTTGGAGGCTGAGATCTAAGGACACAGTTCAAAGCCAGTCCCGGCAGAAATATCCCTGTGAAACTCTTATTAACCCTCAAAAACTGTAAGTGGAGCTGTGGCTCAGAGTGGTACAGCATTAGCCTTGAGCCGAAGAGCTGAGTTATAGCACACAGGTTCTGAGTTCAAGTCCAACAACCAAAAAAACCTGATATTTGCACTCTAGACATCTTCATTATTAGAGCTTCAACTTCTTATTTTTTTATATTTTATATTTTACTTTATGACACAGCATCTTACTAAGAGCCAGGCTGTCCTTAAACTTGAAATTCTCCTCCTATTGCCTCCTAAGTGCTAGGGTCATGGACATGTACCATCATACTGGACTGGATTTTTATGTATTTATTTCAAAGTGGTAGCAATTTAAAAAAATATTTTAAACATTATTAAGCGTAGATTGATATCTTTAAACACTGAGTTCAGTCTGAGAATTTCATTTGATTTCAAGAATGTTTGATGAACACAATGTTCTGCTCAGTGGTACAACACTTGCCAAGCATTGATGCCCTGGATTCCATTCCTATTCCTACTACCAACAAAGACAAACCAAATAAAACAAAAATACATGAAATGCCAGAATTATATATGACCTCCTATGTTTAACCTAAATAAATTTTAATCAACAATTGTAACATGTAATATTATATTGGATTTAATTAGACTTCATGTAAGTCTTGAGAATTACGAGGATGGCTGGGGTTTTGTTTACTTCCAGATTTCGGGGGATAAATTAAAACTAATGTTTAGTAATAGATTGACTTGTTTTTCTACAGATATTCAGTTTGTATTAGCTTATATATTTATTCATATTTGTATGAGTTCATGTAAGAGGTGAGATTTTTCTCTCTCTCTTTCTTTCTCTCTCTCTCTTTCTCTCCCTCCTTTCTACCTCCTTCCTTTTCCCATGGGTGTATCTGTTTGAGTAGAAAAAGTGACAAGAATAATTGAGAAGAACAAAGACATGCAGTAGTTTTCCAAATTTAAATGTATTGCCTGCTAGATTGTTTGGTTACATACAATTGCCCTTGTGGACAAGAGCTAACAAATTAGCCAGCTTTCAGGGAAAGTTAAAAAGGCAGCTTCTCAAAGTTATCTTTCTTCACGCCTCAGAGAATTATGCCACCATCAGTAGTCCTGCCAAGTCACTAAGTGAATTAAATCTAGTTAATTATTGAGCATACTATTTAAGCACAACTTTGTGCAAAAAAAGAGAAAACAATACATAATCCCTTAAATTAAAACAACAACAACAACAAAATCAGGAATTCAAAGGAAAGTCATTGTAAAGTCCTTGCAGTAAAGGTATTTTTGGCTGAAAAGTTGGCTCCAAAAATTTTGAAGTAATAGATCTCATATTTTATCATTTCTGGTACACTGGCTTCATACAGATTCCTTTCTTTAGTGCTACCCATGTGTATGCATCGTCTCTAAACTTAGAAAAGTACAAATGGAAACTTGCCTGCAGAAGACATTGACTGAGCTTTTGACTTTTCTTCTTTCTTTCTTTTTTTTTTTTTTGCTATGAAATTCTACTTAATAATTTAACCTGATCCATGCTTCACTCTACTCCCAGTCAGCCTAGTCAGAGAAAAGGATTTCAGATTTTAACTGTAAATAATGTTTCATCAAGTTTAGGAACTAGCCTGGTAGATTACTGGTTACATTTCTATAAAGTACCCTTAAAATAGTTAAGGAAGCCAGAGTATTTCCATGTGATTCAGAACTTTTGGTGCATAAAGCTACACTGTGGGCTTTGTTTACCATTTTAATCTTTGCTTATTCTCACAGTCCCTAACTTGCCTGATTTTACAATTTATCATCTGGAAGAGGATCATTTCATAACAGACCATGAAAAACTGCCCATTAAATTAACTCATTGTTGTTAAACAAACAAACAAACCAAAAACACAAAAACACCCTGAGTTTTTGAAAACATGGTGAAGTATCTAACAGTAACACCTCATCCCCCATGCCTGCCCTGCTGTTTACTTCTCTCAGTGTGCATGGTTCCTTTGTGGATCCCATCCTGATGTAAATCTCAAGATGGAAGGAGGGAGTGAGCAGGAGGGAAGGCTGGAACATAGTTATAAGCTTCCTGTCCCAGCCATGAAGTAAAATTTATCTGGTGAGGGTAGATTTGTTTACACTTTATTCTGTTGGTTTTTTTCTTTTCTTTTCTTTTTCTTTTCATATTATTCTCTTCGTTGTTCAAAACTCTTAGCAAGGCAGGTTTTCTTTCTGAATTAGATTTTTATTTGAAATCGCCTTACAAAATGTTAAAAAAAAATGTGAAGCTGTTTTGGTACAGTGCTTCTGTACAACAAAAATAAAAATTCTTCATTGTCACTTGGATGGAAAACCAACATATTATAGTATGATACAAAGAAAATTGTCTTAGTGATTTTTTCCCCCTGTCTGTCGTGGAGCTTGAACTCTGGGTCTGGCTCTGTCCCCTTGTACTCTTCAGCTCCAGTCAAGGGCTCTACCGCTTGAGACACAGCACCACTTCTGGTTTTCTGGTAGTTTATTAGAGATACAAGTCTCAGGGACTTCCCTGCCTGGGTTGGCTTTGAACCCGATCCTCAGATCTCAGCCTCCTGAGTAGCCAGGATTACTGGCATGAGCCACTGTCACCTGGCTAATGATCTCTTTATAATTTCAGTACTGTGGTTTGAATTTCAGGTTATACAATCACTTGAGGGACACTCTGTCATCTGCACCATGTTCCCAGCAATTTTTGCTTTAGTCATTTTTTTTTCAAATTTAATTTCAAATTTTAATCTCAGGATTAGCCTCAGACCATAATCTTCCTACCTACACCTTCTTGGTAGCTGAGACCGTAGGTATGTACCACCATGCTTGGTTTATAGATTAAGATTGTCCTTTTTATACTTTTGGCCCTGGCTAGCCTTGAACTGCAGATCTCCTGTTAGCTGCCTCCTGAGTAGCTGAGGCTACAAGTTTGAGCTACCAATTAGAACAGTGTTATAAGTTAAGACATTGTCACCTTAAATTTTGTACTCAATTCTAAAAATTCTAATAGTTACATAATTTTATTTTTAATTTTTAAAATATAGTCCTACTGACAGCTCTCACAAGAGCAATCATTATGTTAGAGTCTTGATGATTGGTTAAAATACTATATCTAAGCAGGCAATGTGAAACTAGACTTTTCCTATGACAACTACTTGTTTCATAATAGGTTTCCAACTTCCTTAGTGAACACTTGCTACCTTGTATATAAAATAATTGTCTATTATTAAAAGGTTCATCTTGTATTTTCTCAGGGGTTTGGAGGGTCAAGAATCATGAAACTAAGATTAAATAACTGTCTCCAACAATTTTATGAAGATAATACATTATATGAAACAAAAGAAGCAATGAAGCTAAATTAAACAAGTGTATTTAAATTCAATTAATTTCCAAAGATAATGAGGGTATAAATATATGTTTGCAGGAATGTGCAAATACAAAATAAGAACTATAACAGTTTCAACAATTCCAGTTGGTATATAAAGATGTTCATGGGAAAAACAAGAGAGACAGAATTAGGAGCAAGCAATCTGATTCTTAAGTCTCTGTAGCATAGAAAAATAAATGGCAATAAGTAGTAAGGCATTATAGTCAAAAAGAATTGGATACAAAACAATGGAAGAGGTGACATTGATCAAATACATTGTACTCATAAATTGGCATGTTCAATTCAAACTCCTATGTACAAAAAGAGAATAGGTTACAGATACAGGAATGCAAATCTGTGTTCAGTATTTTGCTCAGTGGTTCAAGGCACTCTACAGAGATGGTAGTAGAAACATTAGGAATTTATTGGAAAGGTTCAATTATATTAGGGAATTACAGGTTGTATTCTCTACTTCTCAACTGAAATGTTGGATGTGTCATTCATATTCTGTGTATGTACATTCTCTTTGCCTCTCTCAGAACCATTAGAGATATAGATATTCTAACACTTATTTGCTAAAAAGAATTATAATTTCAGGAAACTTTAAAGTCATTCTTTTGAACAACAGTTTCTGTATTTTCTTGCCTTTTGGGGGTAAATCAAGTATTTAAACCTTTCTCATAAACCTTTTTCAATTTTTTAATAAAACACGGACTATGAAGAAGAATCTTTGAAATTGTATGCTAATAGTTTTTATTTTTATGCCTAATAGACAGAATGTGCAAATTTCATCCGGGTACTTCAACCCTATAACAGGACTCACATTTATGTGTGTGGAACTGGAGCATTTCATCCCATGTGTGGATATATCGATGTTGGAGTCTACAAGGAGGTAATGTGATGTAATGGGATTAAAAAACATCTTATGTAAGAAAATAAATTTTGCTTAATATTAACAACATCAAGAAGACATTTAAATATAAAATACTGAATATGCAATATAAGATTTATACTTTATTGTATAGATCATCATTTTTATAATAGATTCTTCCCGGCCAGCAACATTTTTTTTAACTAAAACTTGTTTTAATGAGATAATGAAAATCAGTAGTATAAAATGTTCTGGATTTGTTCTCTATGCATATCTTGCTTTTCCTCTGAGTTTTCTTTATTTTTTTTAAATTTATTTATTATTATTATTATTTTGGGTCTGGTCGTGGGGCCTGAACTCTGGGCTTGGGCGCTGTCCCTCAGTTCTTCAGCTCAAGGCTAGCGCTCTACCACTTGAGCCATAGTGCCACTTCCGGCTTTTTTCTTTTTACTTATGTGGTGCTGAAGAATGGAACCCAGGGCAAGCACTCTACCACTGAGCCACCTTCCCAGCCCATGAGTTTTCTTTATATATAGTTTAGTCTGGTACATTTGGCAGAGATCCAGTTTTCATACAATGTTGCAATGGAATTGTATTTTCTAAATAATTTCATTTTTCCTATTCATTAAAGTTGACCTTTTATGTATGTCTAGAACCATGGATGTTCAATGAAGAGAATTTGAGTAATTTGTTTTTAAATGTGTATGAATAGGCACAGTCACACTGACTTCATTGTATCTAGTCAGTCAAATTCACATAGTGGAAGTGCAAGGTATAGTGACACATACCTGTAATGCCATACTCACTAGGCTGAGAAAACTGGAGAGTTCACAGTTCAGTGACAGATTATAGTGAAACTCTTTGTGTGTGATTTCTAATGTTTACATATTGAGTAGATGAAAAACATTCAGATTTCAGAAATTAAAATGAAAAAGCTAAAGTACTCTCTTTGTGTCATAGACAATGTTATGTACTACATAAATCATTTCTTTGGGATTTCACAAATTCTTAATGAAGTTAGAACATTATATTTCCTGCTATACAGGATAGAAAAAAAAGGAAGTCTTCGTGGAAAAATAATTACGTTTTCAAGGGTCACCTAGCTAATAAGTGGTCTGGCAGTGAACTGAACCAAGGCAGAACGTATCTAGAGTACCTGCCTAGAAGTATGTTCACTAAATGTTTATGTATATACTTCTCATGAATAACCACACATATTTGCAAAATCATTGACTGTGTTTTTGAAAGTGATATGTGGGCTTCTGGGGCGGGTTACTTTATATTGATTTAACTGATTCATGTAGAGATCAAACTCACAACTGTGGCTTAGCAAATTTTCTTCTTTAACCAGCTTGACCAACCAGCCCAGACTAAACTATTTGAAAATAAAGCAACCTTGGTAGCTAGGTCTCTGAACCACTAGGAGACTTGGCAATTGCATCCATCATTCTTAGCTGCTGGTGTAATATTTTCCTGCCTAGCTTTGATGAAGGGTATATAAGAGTAGCTCCCAGCATAGGGTATAATTATAGGAGATAGCCCCACAGCTAGGGTGTGTTTTCAGGCCTGAGGCTAAAGGGCAAACTCCCAACGTGCTGAGGGAAGCAAATAGTGTTCCACAACTCCTTAAACGTCACACATGCTGAAAGGGAGTTTAGATGGAGCTAATTACTTAGCCAGGGACTGTCAAGAAACCCAGGGGCAGTCAAATTTACAAGTTCTCTGAATGAGAGAATTATGAGTGAATGGGGATATTAAAACTAGCTTTCAAGCTGGTCAGGAGTACGAGTAATTAATTAGATGGCAGTCCTGCTTCAAGATTATTAACTGCTTTATGAATCATTACTTTCATGAAATTGCTGGGGGGGGGGGGCGTTTCTAGACGTTTAGAAACCCTTTCCGTTTTGAAATAGGTAAAGGTCTTCCAAAATTGCTGGGTAGAGAAAACAATAGTATAAAATAGGTCTGCAGGAAAGTATACTCTATGGTTTGCCATTCCGTTTAGTGAGGCATTGAGAAGAAAGGGAGAATCTAAAATGAATCTGGGTGCATTGGAACAAGATGGTATTTACTGAGGTCAGGGAAGTTACAAGTTTGTAGAGGAAATGGTGAGTTACTGGTTGGACATGCTGTATTTGTGGTACGTTCAGTAGGTCATGCCAAGAGAGCAGATGGGTATGGAATTTAGGAGAGAGTCGCTGTCAACAACTTCTAATCATGACATGAGCATTCACAGTCAAGGTTGAAATGGCTCAGGTCATTACCTTTCCACTGCCTCATATGTACTGCTTTTCTAAACTTGTGCTTATTCAGCTAAATGATGATGATCATAATAGTAAATACTTTCCAGGGTTATTTTAAATATAAATGACCTTGCCCCATTTGTTAGGAAATGGAAAGGCTTGGAAAAAATTATATTAAGGGAATTAAGCTAGGCTCAAAGAAACATAGGTCCCGTGGTTTCCCTCATTGGCAATAATTAGTATATGTCCGAGACAAGCAGAAAAGGTCAGATAAGATGATGTTAGGTGAAATGAACCCCTAGATAAGGACATAAGTGTTTTTTTTCTTTCTTGCTATTGTTTCTAATGTATTTATAAGGTACCACATGATTTTTTTGTTGCTTTGTATGTCCCTCCCCCATGGTAGGACCCGTTTTCACTGTATTTGATATTGGTATAATTTGTCCAGCAGAAGGGAAAATAACAAATTATTTAAATAAGGATACAGGTTGGCCCATTGCAACAATGAGATATACAAGACACAATGTGGAAAAACGAACTTTAGAATTTAGGCTGGGGGGGATGTAGTTGTGGAGATGGGAGGGAGGGGATGGTAGGGGAAAAACAAAGGAGGAGGCAACAATGCTTGGTAAGAAATGTACTTATTACCTTGCTCATGTGATTATAACCCCTCTGTACAATATTTTCACAATAAAATCTTATTTAAAAAAATTTTAAACATAATTGTATATACTCTCTCATAGTAGTAGGTCCATTAAGTACTCAATATTCACTTATTATGTAGACCAACAGCAGTATAGAAAGATAAGCATTTTCAAAAATATGTGTGTCACGATTAATCATTAAATGGGTTATAAGTATATTCTTTCTGTAAGATTGTCCCTTTGTGGCTACAATCTCACAATCTCATCTTTAAGTAGAGATGATACTGACAGTAACTTTGTCTCCTTGTAATAATTGTTTTCTTACTCTTATTCTATTATTCTAATCTACTCATCTTAGTAAGTTCTTATTCTTATCTACTTAGCTCTGTTTTTGTAATAGTCCTGGGACTTACACTCAGAGATTGAGCATGTTCCTAAACTTTTGTCCTGAAAGCTAGAATTCTACCACTTGAGCCACAGTTCTACTTCTGGCATTTTTGTATTCAGTTGGTGATAAGAGTCTCAGAGACATTCCTTCCTGGGCTGGGTTCTAACCTCGATCTTGAGATCTCAGCCTCTCCAGCAGCTAGGATTATAGGCATGAGGAACTGGAGCTTGGTTACTTGTCTTTTTACTTCTGTAGCAGCATTAATTTTTATTTCGTGTGTGTGTGTGTGTGTGTGTGTGTGTGTAGAGCAGACAAGTGCTTTTTGTGTAATTAGGCTTAAGGAATTTCTTGGGACAATGTTTATAAAACAAAATTCTCAAAACTAAAGACTGTTATGTGGTTCAGTCCTTCCTCTCAGGAAGTGTATTATGTCATCTTTTTTTTTTTAACTTAACTTTCCTATAGGTGTCTTTGACTGACTCAAAGGGTCAATTTATTTCCTTTGACCTCATCTTCAATTCCCACAAATACCAATTTTATGGATCTTTCTTGAGAACTTAATATAGCACTACATTTACAAACAAAAAACACTACATTTGAAGAGTTTTTTTTCCTAGCACCTTTGATACACTAAGCCATTTTTCAATATATAATCTAGCTTTTTATTTATCTCCTGGGGCTGTAGGATCCAGTTAACTCTTCCTTTTACAATTTCCAAGTTGAGTCTTTAGGGTTAACAGATTTGTTAATGTAGGAAAATGACATATCTTTTGTGATATATATATATATATATATATATATATAATTTTGTGATGATATATCACTACCTCTTATAGGTTTGTTGTCCACTATTATATCTCTATCCCAAAGCATAGCTGCAAAACATGACCTAAATGTGCTATCACTGATTTTTTTCACACCCCTTAATAAGCTTGCTCAATGTAAATACAATTGGATGTGATCCTGTATTCCATGGTAGCAGCGAGTCATGTATACATTGATACATGTATACATTGATGACAATTTTAAATCTATGAGTTTGAATTTGGAGTCTAAATCACATGAGAGCACTAACTTTGTAGATATCCCTGAGTTCAAACCCCTGCTACTCTGCCTTCTGTTAGCACTATTTTTTGCTCAGCCAGAAATTGTCCTCAATATCATAAGAAGTAAAATTGGAAATATTAAGTTAGCCATACTGTTAGGCTTGTAGTGAGAGAATGCATGTGATATTCTGGGCTTTTCTTAGTTCCTTGTTAAGTGAAACTATTGCCACTATTAAAGTGTACTGGTTTAAAAATTAAGGAACTATCAAGTGCTAATCAGGGTATTTAATTTCTATTACAATTTTTCCTCTAATGATAACATAATGCAAGGAAGAATCCAATTTCTTCTCTATCTTTTGCTTCATGGCTTGCTTTCTACATAAATAGAAGCCAGACATATGATCCCCACTGAACTCTTGTAGATATTCCATCTAGAAAGTCTGACATGTTGGATTCCTCTACTGAGTGAACAGGGCCCGTCATCTGTCTTTGTACTGCATGGTAGTGTTGTCATTGTTATGAAATACTCAGGCTCATGGGGCTATATTCATTATACATGCATATTTTCCTTGGACGGTTCAATGTAATATGTTGTTTTTATTTTCTGAATATAAGAAGTCTGCCAATGTCATTCCATCTGTGGTCACTATTGTAAAAACACAAGTTTCAGCCAAAATAACTATGTGGCTTTATTGTGTACAGGGATTTTACAAAAGTGAAAATACTACAATGGGATTTTCTTTCCCTGCATGTAGCAACAACTTAGAAAACAAGCTACCTGTCTTAGGAGCCTTTCCTTTCTTTCTTTTTATAAATCATAAGAACATTTTCTAGTCACAAGGATTCAGTAATTTGGTAAGGTTGCAGATGTTTAGTTATATAAATCATAAACAGTTCCCTGAAATTAGAAATAATAAATAGTAAATAAATTTATTTTTTAAAGTTGGGTTTTATCAGGCTCAATAAATTAATTGTGCAACTTAAAAATATGTAACTGTAAACACCCTCTGTGTATCAACCTTTACCATAAAATAAAATTAAAGTAAAATATACATAATTCGTGGTTATTCAATACTGAAGGTAGTCCATACAACATGTATTTTATGAGTATTGTAATATCTCCAAACTGAATAGTTCATTCAACTTGAGCATTACAACTTTGGGAAAAAAAGAGAACTAATAAGTCTATAGAGTCTTGCCAGGTGCAATATTGGCTACAGAATGAATACATCAGGAAGTATATTATGTATGCTCAATTCATTTTTATTGAATTTATGACTTAGAATTTAATTCTTATCTCCCATGTTATTGCTGACTGGGATAAAATTTTAACTATCCCTATATTTCTTGTCATAGGATCTCATATTCAAACTAGACATACATAACTTGGAGTCTGGAAGACTGAAATGTCCTTTTGATCCACAGCAGCCTTTTGCTTCAGTAATGGCAGGTAAGGTCTTGCTGATAAATGAAACTCTGTTTCCTTATCCAATTTTAGACAATTTTGGTGCCACATCTTTCTCTACAGATCATCGTTATCAATAGAGGAAGACTGATCATGTCAATCTCAATATAGTTACTTTGTAAATTAATTTCTCATTCAATTATTTTTAGTCTAAATAGTATTCTTAGTTTTTCCTTATATAGTTGTAAATTGAGATAGTTTTCTGGTAGTTTCTTACACTAAGCTACATCTCCATTTGGCTCAGTATGGACATTAAAATATAGTGGGTACTGAGCCAATTAATAACAAAAAATAACCAAGCTACTAAATACAGATAAATAATGTTAAAAGACATCTTTCACAATTTCACTATTGAGGGAACTGGTGTATATTTTTTCTAGCACGTTTAGTCCTCTTTCACTTTGTCTTCGTTTTACATTCTCATGTGAGATGAGTGACTTGTTCAAAGAATGTAATACTGTGTGGTCTGAAGCCCATTCTCAAGAATGCCAGCAGGATCTCCGAATTTCAACCATTATGAGAATTCCTTTTGTCTTCCTTTGGTTCTTGACTTTAATCTCCTTTTATGTAACTTGTCTGTCAAATGTTTGAACAGAAGATAAGAGAGAGGTACCGTGACATTTTAATTTTCACTTACTGGGAACCAGTGATCTCAGAAGTGAGAATATGTGTGTTTCTGTGTGTTCTGAAAATTATATGGCTTGTGTACACTCCTCTCAGTAAAGGAAATTGATGATGTGGGATTTTTAGCTGTCAAGTGGAGTTGAAAAACTTTTAACAATAAAAATAATAGATTGTAGGCATAGCTGACCCCTCTTAGGAATTCCTATATAATTCTAGATACAAAGATGATTTTTAAAGTTTGATATTCATATTCCTTTTCTGACAAAACATTCAAATACCTGCAACTTTTTATATTTCAAGGTAATGTCTTACTCATTTTACTGTTACCAAACTTGTTCATCATGTAATTCTATTTCTTAAAACTTTGCTCTGAAATAAAATATTGTATTGCCATTTACCTCATATACCCCAGTGAAGCACCTTACCTGTTTAAGGGCTGGAGAAAGTACCAGTTCTACCTCCAATCTACATTGTGTGATTTCTCACTTTTGTGTGCTTTGATTCCTCTAAAATTTTCCATTGACATTATTTAGGTTGAATTGACTCAAATAATGCATTGAAGGGCTAATGCAGACAGATATAACTAAAGGATTAAGAAAGTATTTTAATTATTTCTTATACAGGACAGAATTTTAAAGACTGTGTTTCTGAGGAAAATTGAATTTCAATGGTAAACATTGTGCTTATTTACATATACAGGGATTAAATTTTTTAAGCACACTGTGGGGCATTATATATGTTTACTTTATCCTATTTACTGTAACCCCAAATTGACACCTATAACATTCTCCTGAAAGAGCAGTAACTTTGCTCTCAAAGGAGCAACATACTCTGCTGTAGGGACATCCGTCTTCCTCCCCCATGCCCACCCAATGCTCTGATTAACATTAGGGAACATTGACACTTCCCAGCCTTCCCCCCACTGGCAACTCCCACTCCTCACTTTTTCTGGTCTCTCCCATTCAGGGTCTTCTTCTCCTCCCTGCCCCTCTTCTTTTTCTCCTCCTCCTCCTCCTGCTCTTCCTCCTCCTCCTCCTTTTTTCCCTTTTGTCCTATCTCTTCCTTTCACCTTCCTCTAACCACAGCTTCTCTTCTTTTCTCTTCCTTCCATTCTTTCTTTCCTTCTCCTTGTACTTCTCCTATCCTAGCCTCCCTCTTTCTGTTCTTTCTCCTTTCTCTTTCTCTGCTCTCTCTTTTCTCTTCCTTATAAAACATGGACATGCATTTTATATAAATAATTTTGAAGTTTAGTATTTAGTAATGGTGCATTAATTCCCCTGTCTACTTATCAGCACTGTTAGATACAGAATCAGCTACAAGGAATGCATCATGCTATAATTATACAGAATGACTTCAGTGCTGAAAGCTACGTTTCCACAGAGGTGGGGCAAAGAAAACTTGTGGTCACTGAGGTTGTGCTGGTTAAGTAAATATTAATTATACAGTCCATTCTTCATTATGCCATCTTAATTTTATTACATTTTTTGTGTGTTGCTATAAAGAGAAGTGAATCATTTTGAGGAGAAGGGAGTGAGTGAAGATTATTCTAAGAGAAGCCAGTGCATGTTCAATTGATGTTTCAGAAGAATTTGGCCTTTTTAATATAGTCAATTATCTAACATCTGTTTGTCAAAGTTAACAGAGTGATTGCTTTAAGTAATGTAATTATTCAACATCTCAAAGTGAAATTTCAAAGCAACATATTCTGATGTCAAATAAGCATGTTTGGAGTCAGACTGTGAAATTTGTGTATTTGAAATACTATCTATTTCTGTGCTCTTGAATGTCCTGTGTATGCCTTTCTCCTCCCAGATGAGTACCTCTACTCTGGAACAGCCTCTGATTTCCTTGGCAAAGACACTGCATTCACTCGGTCCCTAGGGCCCACTCACGACCACCATTACATCAGAACGGATATCTCAGAGCACTACTGGCTCAATGGTTAGTGATGTTGTCACTTTTGATACTTTTGCATTTGGAGAGATTAGAAGCTCATTATTATTCATTTGGAAGTGTTTTGAAATAGTTGATTTAGCATAGCCTAATAAAATATACTTGAAAGTATTCCATATCAAGTCAGAACAATCTCCAGGAGCTTTTGCATATGATAATAGCCGATATTGATGGAACTTTATCTTTGGCATTATTCTTTCACAGATAGTTTTGTTATGCACAGTGACATGTGAGATATATTACATTTATGATTTTTGAAGAATGAGCAAATTACAGGTGAAGAAAGATGAGTAATTGGTCAAGTTTCCAAAGCTTGTAAGTCACAGAACTGGGATTACAGAGATGGCAACCTGACTCCTCTAGTCCCAATTGTAATGACTTGAGTTAATTATGCACCTCCTATTAACACAAAGGAAAGGGGTTTAACTGTAATGTTAACTTCGTTTTAGTAGACTTATACTTTTAATTCTGACTTAACAATTATACAATTTTTCCTTTTAACTCCTACATATGTGTACATATTTGAAAATATAGTGTAAAACTTTAGCATGTGTATATAAAATGCTTTGATCAATTCAAAATAGTTATCCTTTTTTCCAATATAACTATAATTTCTGTTGCTAAAAATTAATGATGTGTTAAGATATTTTAAACAATATATTTACATGCATTTGTCTCATGATGATTTTATTGTAAGTGAGTTAACCATTTTATTGCATCATATCATATTGTAAGTTAAGAAAGAAAAGGAAATCAAAGAACTCCCTATGAATGTATTTAATTAATCGAAGGGATAATATAAGACCATGCTATATGCCACTGCCTCATAACAGACCAATATTTATCATGATTTTCTAGTGTTTTCTACTTAAGATAAGGCTTTGTTGCATTGCAGGACAGAATAACAGAAAACCCTGGTTTAAGCAGGCAGACCACATTTACCATTCCCACCATAAATATAGGATTTTAGTGGAGGAGGGCAAGGTAGAAATTTCCTGGAGTTTATCTTTGTTATCTCTTGGTGCCATTTAAACAGTGACAACATAAACAGAAAGGGAAGCATTTTAAACCTTTCTTGATTCAGAATAACCAGATCTATTTGTTTACACAACAATGTGGTCTCCAGAATGACAATTCTACAGAAACTTTAGTATCTGTTTAAATCAAAAGATATGCTTATGGCTTTAAATGAAGGATAAGATTCTGTCTCTTATTTTAGGAATGGCCTTTACTACCACACAGCTACTCCTCATTTAAGATATTATTTTCTTAAATTATTTCACTTTCATATGTCCATAAAGAAATCCACATTGCTGTTAAAACAGTATATGGAGAAAATTTGCATGCAACAATTATTTGTCTAAGATGCTCTTATTATTACTGTGTGAATAGAATCAGAAGTAGGGAGCTTTCAAATTGGTTTAACTCCCTAAGACACAATTTATGAGGCCTTTTCACCTATTGAGTACTACTAGACTATGCACAGGACCTGCACAGAGAGACAGGGGAGCCAATGATTAATGTGTTCATCAGCCTAGAGAGTGAGGAGAGTGAGAGAGGAGGCTATCAAGCTGTAAATATTATTGTAAAACCTAGCAGAGCCATTGATGGCTTACTTTTTAATCAGGAAATCTGACCTTTGTTATTTTAAAGGTAATTGGTAATACCATGAAATGAAGACTAAAAGGAGAATGAGGATGAGGAGAAAGGTAGTGGGACTGTTAGAAACATGAGAAAGAACAGTAAAGGATATTTGAGAGAGAGGATATTTGTGAATGAAAGAGTCCACGGGCAAAGGGCAGAGATCACGATGCCAGAAGAAAATAAAAATTTGAGGGAAGAAGTGGCATATTGTACAAGTTTGAGAGGAACTAAATTCAGGTGAGTGATTAAGAGTTAGGAGAATTAACATTCCTGGTTCTGAATTATTCAAGACCATGTGCTTAGTGGTGAAGAGCCTGTGATCATGAGAACAGGTTTCTTAGGAATCGTCTAGCTTACTGCTATCCTTTAACGCTCAAAATGCCCCAGTTCATTGAAAACTGTGGTTGATTCTTTGGAATTTGCTCTTAAATCCTTACTATCACTTATGGGTGACCTTGGTTGAAACTTTCTGAGGTTCACTTTGTCTATATGCATGGTTTCTAGTAATTGCATCTGTGCTATTACTTAATTATTACATAATTCTTACATTAACTCTTCTAAGGAAGCCTGTTAGGCAACAATTTTAAGTGCTAATTTGTATTATATTTCTATGATTATTATCTTATTTTTCTGAAGGTAGGAGAGGTGGGAGATAAAATTCAAACCCTGAATCTTCTGTTGTTTTTTTGTTGTTGTTTTTGACATTATTTGAGCATTTTGGTATTTTGAAAACTTTTATTTCTCCTTCTTTACTTAAGAAGGACTACATCCTTCCTAATGCTTTTAATTGTTACCTACATTTCTGTGTCCCTAAAACTATCATTCCAGCATCTGTAAATGGCCTTATAAATGTTTGGGCTGGATGGGAGAACTCTATAATCACAGCTCCTTGGGAAACAGAAGCAAGGGTGTCCATATGTCTAGCATCCATATGGTTGGCAAAGTATTTGTTTAGCATAAGCCATGTGGTCCTGGGTTCAATTTACTGTATCAAAGAACAAAAATACAAAAGCAAAACAAAACCAACAAAACGAAGTAGAGGGATAAGGGAGAGAGGAGAGAGAGAGAGAGAGAGGAGGGGCTAATTCTGATGGAGTACATATCATCTCAGATTCAAGAAGAATGATTGTTTGATATAAAAATAAAAATCTTAAAACTTTAGTGGAGCCAGCGCCGGTGGCTCATGCTTGTAATCCTAGCTACTCAGGAGGCAGAGATCTGAGGATCACTGTTCAAAGCCAGCCCCAGCAGGAAAGTCTAATTAACCACTATAAAACTTGGAGTTGCACTGTGGCTCAAGTGGCCGAGCACTCACCTCCAGCTGGAGAGTGAAAGGACCAGGGCCCAGGTCCATTCAAGCCCCCTGACCAAAACCTTACTTGGATTGATCTCCTACGTTGGTTTTTAAAATGATTTTACCTTAATTGGAACTAAAAACAATGTGTTCCATTTAAAATCTTGTTTTACTTCGCTTACATTCCCTTCAATACAGTTTCCTATTTGGGGGTCAGTGGTTGCTTTGTTAGTTTGATGGTACTGGGGCTTGAACTCAGTGTCTCTCAATGATTTGACATACATACTCAGGTGGTACTTTATCACTTGAGACAAACAGTCCTGCTTATTTTGCCTTTTTTTAAGAGCTGAAATCTTATAGCCAGTTCTGCCTGGGCTAGCTTCAAACCATCTTCTCAGCCTCCTGTATAGCTAGAAGTACAGGTTAGAGACAACAACACCAGGCATGTTCCCTGATTTGTATCCTTTCATTTCTGTCACCCAAAACTTGACTTCACCCACCCATTTACCCTGGGGTATATATGATTCTTTCTTTCATCTGTTTTATCTTCTTTATCTAAATCTACCACCAAGTGTCTACTTCCTTCAAAATACCTACTGATCTTGCTGTTTTCATGGTCCCAACTTTCCTAGAGGACCTTAGTGCCTTGTTCCTGGGATGTTGTTCTAAATTCATTGCTTACACACTGATCTCCCTATATCTTATTTCTCTCTCCCTTCGTGATTTAATTCTATATGACACCTGTATTAAGCAATGTCTCAGCTACATTGAGAGTGCTGTTTTGTTTGCAATTATAATCTTGAAAACATCACTAATGGTGCTTCACCCTGGAAATATATTAGAAGAAAGTAGTTCATGTTAAACAGCTAGGTGAGCATGTTCAGCTTTGGACCTTGCATTCTGGTCCAGACATAGAGTCGAGCAAACCAGATTCTGCTGCTTTGACTGCATATCCATCTCCTGCTCTTGCAGCCTTGCTAGAAACAAGGTCCATAATCGTTTGACCTACAGCAAACCCTGACTTTGGGTCTGGCACCAAAGTCTAGGACAAAAAGAGAGAGCAGTGGAAAGGGCTTAGGCATTCTGGTCACTTGTAGAAGTGTGTCAAGCAAGTCAGATGTTTCTTGGGAAGAGCAGAGGAAGAAAAGGAATGATTGACACTACATAAGATTCTTATAATGAGGAGAAACCTGATGGACTAGTTTCCTCCAGGAGACTTTCTGTCTTCCTTTTTTGAGAAACAGCTACATGGCCCATGGTCCTCTGGGTTCATCTGGCTAGCATTACAGGTATGAGGAGAAAGAATACAGATGAGTTTTGCTGATTTGGGAGAATGAATGCTAGCTTAGAAATTATATTTCACAACCATATTTTACCAGTAGAGATGAAGCATGAAGTCAAGATGTGCCCTGGTGTCCAAACTGACATGCCCAGCCTGTCTATGTTGATGCCAGGCTTCTGAGAAGAGATAGGGATCTCCTGTGCCTGGAAGGTGGACTGCCTCTTTTTAGCCATTTTGAGAATAGAAGTCTTTACTGCCTTAATTCTGCTCCAGTCATACTGCAGTTATGGACACAGGCCTCTTGAATTAAGGCTGCCCTGGCCAATATGCGACACACTGTCCATGCATAGCTATTTAAATTTAAAATAAAAACAACTAAATTGGACTGAGGAAGTAGACTTTTGCTTTAGATTTTCATTTTAACATATGGAGGCAGCGTTAATTTGAAGTTGGTGTATGAGTGTTCTGTTGTCTGTTAATTTTCCCACATGAAAGGAGATTAGTTTACAAATAGGAAACATATTATAAGAAGAAATAAAAGGAAGTCAGAAGATCGGTATCTATTAAGTAGTGGGTAAGTGCACTCATGCAGATGAAGAAGCTCTTGGAGAAATGAAAATGGTTTGTCTCGCAGGCGACATGGGTTTGCCATGTTTTTACTTGGCAGTGCCTCATGATGTCATGCTAGAAGTTCATTTGTACAAATGCATGATTTCAAATTCCACCCCTTTGAGGACATGTGTTCCAATGCCAAGGACAGAATGGGACTGTGCTATAATAAAGCCCAGGTGTCTACTCATATGATTTTTAAATGGTTTAATTCAACCACTATGCAGTAATTTAATGATACCCTATTTTTACTCATATTTGGCAACATGTCAGGAAGGAGTTTCTATCATAAAACACTAACATCAGTGTTCTAAGACAGTACCTCAGTGTAATCTGCAAGAAAGAAACTATTCTTGAAAGTTGTGCTTATTTTTAGCTCCTAAGTATGCTTGTTATTTAAATCAGAGACTAGAGTACTATTTGATACTTTTTCCACAATTAAATTTCATCATATAATAAACATTTGGCTTAAACATCTCCACTTTTCCCTTCCTGAAAAATTTTATTTTATTAGTGTCCAAAAGAACCAACACTTAAGAGTTTAATAAAATCATCACAGATTGGACAAAACACAAAACCATGTTTGATGTATATTACATACTTACATTACAGTTAAAAGAAATATCACTGGGAAAACTATCTATATACTATTTTTCTCTGTTGAGACAATAATAAAATTCCTAAAATGGAGACTTGAGCATACTTACTTTTTGACCATTAAATACAATGCTACATAGTAATATACAGTCAATAATTTTCACTCTCTATGAATTTCTGAAGTATATACAAAAGCTACCTGATTTTCTTGTACTTCTTTAAGACTTTGCTCCATTTTTTGAATCCTATTTTCTTTTTCAAAAGGTGTAAAAAATGATCTCATGTAATTAATTTTTTTTTTTTTGTTGGTCGTGGGACTTGAACTCTGGGCCTGGGCGCTGTCCCTCAGCTCTTCAGCTCAAGGCGAGCGCTCTACCACTTGAGCTACAGCGCCACTTCCGGTTTTCTGGTGGTTTATTGGAGATAGGAGTCTCACGTTCTCTCCTGCCCGGGCTGGCTTTGAACCGGGACCCTCAGATCTCAGCCTCCTGAGTAGCTTGGATTACAGGCCTGGCGTAATTAATTTTTTCTAAGTGTGTAAAGACTGCTTTTATAAGGGAGTCTTCATTCACATTGTTGTTCCTGTTATTTGGGACATTTTTCTGCTTTAAATCACTGACTGCCCATTTTCTTCAGAGGGAAGGTTGTGTAAATCTTTCACTACTATACAAATACATCACAATTTAATTTTTTCATTGTAAATTTATTTCTGTTACTGTATATATCAAATAGGAAATTAGTATTACAAGTCATCATGCTATGTTATGTAAACTCTACTGAAATTATATTTAAATGCTATAATTCTGTTTATGGTAGTGAACAATTTAAACTCAACTATTTGTCAAAATAAGGGGATCCAATTACATTATTATAATTTCAGAATGGTTTTTTTAGACCTTTTTAATCCCATTACAGTTACTTAAGAATTTATTTTTATGATTTAGCCTTACTTGCCCTGTCCATTCAGAATCTGAATTATGAATTGTGGGTCAAAGATTTTTCTCTGTGTATGGAATGGTATTCTACTTTAGTGACTATTAAGTTTGGATTTTTAGAAGTTTCACTTCAAGGTTAGTTCTTTAAATTTTGTACTTATAATTATAAATACAGTAAAGATTTTCACCTAGTTTGGTGGAACTGGATTTAGTATGTATACATTGAGAACACTGTATGGATTATTTTCCATATCTGGTCATGTACCTGTGGATATTCCTTTGGTTGTCCTTTGCTTCTTTGATTGTTGTCATCTCTTTTGGAGGTATTGTGAATATCAAGGTTAAGTTTTTCTCCTTAGCCATCTCCTGTTTTATGTTAAGTGTTTATTAATTCCAATGAAAGTTGAAGAGTCAGTTATTCATTTAAAAATACTTGATCCTATTAGATCTTCCATATATTAACAATCAAAAAGATCCCCTTTCAATTAACTTGTTGAAATATCAAATACATATTTATAGAAAAAGCTTTATGTACAATGTTCTTAATTGTTAAAAACTTATGGGCTGGGAAGATGGCTCAGTGGAGAGCGCTTGCCTTGCATGCCGGAGGCCCTGGGTTCGATTCCTCAGCACCACATAAAGCAAAAAGAAAAAAGCCGGAAGTGGCGCTGTGGCTCAAGTGGTAGAGTGCTAGCCTTGAGCTGAAGAGCTGAGGGACAGCGCCCAGGCCCAGAGTTCAGGCCCCATGACCAGACCCAAAAAAAAAAAAAAACTTATAAATGTGCATTTGCAGATGAAAAAGATAGTATTATTTTGCTCAGGGGTTAAAACCAAATGCTTAGTTTTTATCAACAACCCGAAAGAGGGTTTAGAGAGGGAGAAACAAAACACACACAAGCAAACCAAAAACAACAAAAAATCAAGTGAAAGTTTTAAAAAGGCTTGACAATGTAAAATTAATTAAAAGATGAAAAACTGAAAGGTCCTACATGTTTTTTTTAAATCAATGTCATATAATCTTCTAGGTCCATACCAAAGTGAGATTATCAGAGGAGAAATGTTTCAATGAAGTTTTGAGATCCAGCAAAGAGTTAGGAAACACTAAAAAAACACAAAAGAGGTTAACACAGAAATTCCCATGTCCTTTCCCTTAACATTTTTCATGGAAGTAGGGAAGAGATTGGAGACCCAAGAGGGGGCGGGATTATCATGGGTGAAATTCATGACACTTGAAACCCACTATTAACTTTTGTACATTGAAAATAGCTATTGTGAAACTTTTCTAATAGTTGGCCTTTTGATCAGTTGCTATGCATTTATATGCAAGGTTATAACTTTCACTTCTCCTAGGAATGAGTCAATCAAGAGTTCTAAGTAAAACCTTAGAAGGCATTGTTCATCTTTTTTATTTACCTTTCTAAGTTTTGATTTTTGTCTTTTTTGTTTTTATTTCTCTTTCTTAAACAGTTATTTTTCTGTGCTTCCTTCAAAATATGCCATACATTTTACTTAACTGAAGTCCTTACCTCAATTATTAAGTCTTTTTATTTGGGTTCTTTGCTCTTAGTCAAATGATTATTTCTGGACCAATATTGATATAAAACCATATTGAGTGACTCCATACCACATATTGGAAATGGCCCAAGCACTATTACTGTTTTTCATTTGTATTCCATTGGGCAATCTAATAAATTACAGCAAAGAACAGTATAGAGGAACTCTTTTGAATATAAGTATATTTTGAGATATATGTACAGTTATTCCTAGGTTCTTTTATAAAAGATATCATGGTTATATAGCAGTAACTGCATCATAAGTAAGGTGAATAGATAGAAAATCATTGACTTGCCAGATGTGATAAGACTTCCTATAATATTTAAATAGCATTTGACACTCATATGATGACCTTAACGTAATGTTCACCTAGCATTTCTGCCAGCAAAGGACAACATATAGTGGGTTCCCATACTACTATTTATGGTCATAGCCATCCTACTTGATGTAATTATGTTCTGTGATGTTTTCCAATAATGATAAAATCACCTATCAATGCATTTCTCAGAAAGTATCCTTTTATGTTATGTGACCTGTGACTGGTTTAGTGGAATTGTAACAATTGGGAGTGTTAGCCAGACCTGTTCTGACCTGCTCTCTGGAATTCCTGAGAACTTGTTTTGAACCTCTTTCTGCTGTGCTGTTTTTCTACATGGTCACAAGTTTGTCTACACATCTTGCTTCCCATATTAGACTGGAGGTTTATGTTTCTAATTTTTTAATAGTTTCACATCCTAAATTCACTAGTACTATTGCAGTTGGATTTTTTTAATTAATTTATAGCTTTTATTTTTCAAACAGGAGCAAAATTTATTGGAACTTTCCCTATACCAGATACCTATAATCCAGATGATGACAAAATATATTTCTTCTTTCGTGAATCATATCAAGAAGGCAGTACTTCTGATAAGACGATCCTTTCTCGAGTTGGAAGAGTTTGTAAGGCAAGATACATTTATTTATTTTACTTCAGGTATATGTATATATTCAGGAATTGATTAACCATTCAATGTTGAAATGAAAGTTAATACCCATTATACCCTAAAAGTATAGAATTGATTTATACTCTCATATAGGTGTAACCTCTGAGAAATGAAAATTTATTTTTCTTGAAAAAAGAGGGGGATTTGCATTTCTCAAATATTGTAGTTTGTTTTACAGCACCTGAACTGCTTCCCTGAAATGACTTATCCCATGTTGGCAGAGACTATATTGTCATTTGAGGGTTGTCTTCTGTCCATTCTTGCCTGTAATTACTTCTTCTCATCATCATCACCATGTTGTCCTTGTCTGTGGAGGTTAGAATATTTTCATACAATGACAAATAATCTTTTCTTAGCATTAAGAATAACTTGAAGGCCTGTCTGCATCTTCTGTCTCATTTGAAATGGTCTGAAGCTGAAAACTCTCGTGAATGGGTTGAGGCAGCAAAGTGAGAAGCATGTCCGCGAAAAGGCGTTCCTAACACCTGTTACGCTGGGGTTTGGGGAAAGCTCAGGTTCATCTCCATGTTTTAGAACATGCATCATAGTCACCCAGAACAACAGTTCTAATGATTAAAGGTTAGTAGAGTATATGACTGTATGCATTCCTCCAGCTCAAAAGGATAGACAGCAGATTCAAACTGCTGTTTTTGAGTGTGACTCTCATTTCCTGCCTGTGGACCAGGAAATACTTCTCTCTTTGTATTCTATGTCTTCCTGTTTCATCCTGTTATACTTAAACCAATTCTTGCTAAAACTTGAAAACAATTATTGAATGCAACTTAATATAAATATTGGAGTGAGTTAAAAACTAACAGAAATTTATTCTGTATTTTAAGTCATACATCTATCTAAACATTATATACTGATCAATGTATTAAAATCATTATATTTTAGTGTATATTTAAATTCTTGACAATTAAGACCATGATTAAGTTCTGAGAAAAAAAAATACAGGTTGAAACAAATAGACAAAACTACAAAGCACTTATTTGAAGGGGATTGCAATTAATCTTCAGTACTGCCCTTTACTATAAATCATATATGAAACCATCAAACTTTATGAAATACATTTTGTGCCATCCCAAGTTTCATTTGATTGGCTACAACTTTACAGAATAATAATGCTACTGGAACATGCTTTAGATTTCAGTATATTATTTTTGGCCTGGATTTTTCTCTATTGAACTAACATTTCTTACACAGACAGACATCTTCAGCACAAACTCAGCTGTTAAAGACAAGCACTGTTGAGTTAATAAATACTCTCTGTTGGAAGCTTTCTTTGGTCTTATACAAACTTTTCATTTTCTTCCATCTTCTGTCACTTTTTGTTTCAGCCTGTGCCCTCAGGCTTCTGAACACTTCCCGGGATAGAAATATGCACCATTATTGCAGTTAAAGTGCTAATGAAAACATGGCTTTTGAAAGAGGCCAACCGTGAGCCCAGATCATTCTTTATCTGGTGTCCAAGGCAATAATTCTGTCTCCCACCTATCCCTGCCCCACAACAGATTCCCTAAAAAGCATCCTCATTCTTTCTAAGCATCTACAGTAATTTCTCTTGAAGCCTCTTGCTTTGGGATGAATGGGCTTTGCTTGGATTAGTCTTTATGTGTTAGTGTATTGAGGTATGCCTTACATCAACACTATTTGACCCTAAAAAAGCATTCCCGTGCATTTACATGTGTGTATGAATGAGCTAAGTTAAATATGTCAAAAAAAGATTGACATTCAATTAAATGCATTTCATGACTCACTTTCTGATGAAGATAGTTAACAAGGGCATTGCCTATGAATCATTTCAGTGTTGATGTTTTCATAGATCTAAAATATTTGATAAAAGTTTATTTATAACAAAGTAATATTTTTATCTCTGTGTAATAGTAAAAGGTAAGGAATTATGTTAAAATGCTTTTATCCTATTAAATGTACATATTAAAAGTATAATGTTGACCCTAAATATCAGCATAGAATCTTTTGAACACACTCCTACAAAGTAGAAATAGCAAAAAAAAAAAAAAAAAAAGTAGTAAATGAATCTTCCCATCTCAGAAACTCCTAGACCACACATCAAGATTTTGTCATACTCTTAATCTGTATTAACAGCTAAGAAATTATGAGATAAAGTGAAGACATGATGGATTAATTTATTGTAAAATTAAAAGGCATTCTTCATTGACTAATAGATCTCTTCATTTAATTATTTTCATTGAGTATTATCTTGAGAACTACTCCTGGTACAAATGATCCATTGATCAAATGCTTCATATTCTTGGTTCTAAATGCTGTCTTTGCAACTTAATTACAAAATCATTTCTCCCCATGTTTCTGAATTTTCCCTAGAAATTTAGAATTAAATTGTGACAAAAATTGAGTATTCGGGCTGGGAAGTTGGCTCAGTGGTAGAGCGCTTGCCTTGCATGCCTGAGGCCCTGGGTTCGATTCCTCAGCACCACATAAGCAAAAAGAAAAAAGCCAGAAGTGGCTTTGTGGCTCAAGTGGTAGAGCGCTAGCCTTGAGCTGAAGAGCTGAGGGACAGCGCCCAGGCCCAGAGTTCAGGCCCCACGACCAGACCGCCCCCCCCCAAAAAAAAAATTGAGTATTCTCGGGTGTAAATTTCACTGAAAATAGTAAAAATAATTATTTGGAATCTTAAAAAAGTTATGCCCTATAAAACAATAACAACTTTAATAATCATTTTAAAATTCAATGTAACTTTTGTTACATGATTATTTTCACATATAAAAATTCTATTGAAATTATTTGGAACATATCAGTTCAGTTTTTTTATTATCCTCTGTATGTCACCATAAAATATTGTTTGCTTTTCATTTTTTACAAATATTTATAGGAATAAAATTGAGTTTGATAATTAACAACAACAATGACAAAAGACTCACCAAGGAAGATGTCATGTTAGAGAAAATGAAAAGCTGTCTATACCTTACTGAGTCTAGCAAAAAGCAGGAATGGGTGCATGGTTCAAATGATAGAACATGATCTTGATCAAAAAATCAAGCAAGAGTGTGAGGTCTTAAGTTCAAACTCTGGTAATGCCAAATAAATAAATGAACAAATAAACAGATATTAGCAGTAAGGCTATCAATGTCATTTGCCTGCATGATGCATTCTATTTTAATTAAGATGTGAGCTATAATCTTGCTTTATTTCTTGCTGTCTTAGTATCCTATGCTAGAAAATGTGAATAAACTTCTCTTGCATGACTATTTTACCAAGTAGATATATGACTTGGTAAAGTCTATGAATTCAGATATAACAGATACTCAACAAAACACTGAAAACAATACTGATTTAGGTAGATTTCTTTTTAATGCAGGTACATTTATTATAGGAGATTTAAGTATAGAGAATGCAAATACTTGGTTAATCTATAGTGGATTAAATGTCAAAGATCACAAACATGCCTCTCTGACACATCTACTTTGGAACCAGGCCAATTTAACTTTGCTTAGGAACAGGAAATAATGGTGCTGGTGACAGTGATTGTAATATTTAGGGAATAGTGACATATTAGTTACTAAAAGTTATTGTAAAGAAAAATCATCTATCAGGTGGGAATTACTATTTTTTTTTATTTTTCCTTTAATTTAGTGTAGAATTTGATCAATGAAAATATTTTTCAAGAGATACAGATATGGAGAAACATCATAAAATGAAAAATTAATTCACAACTTAATTCTACATGGCATTTTTAGTCAATGATATCTTGTGGAGGATACATGTCTTCATCTGAAGATTCACCTGTGATGAAACTCCATAATTTATCATTGTACTTAGTTAGAACAACTTCTTCATAGATTACCCTTCAGCTAGGGTCAGAACTTTCTAGTCACACTAGTCATCTTTTTATACTTAAAATATGGAGCTTATCCTTGGTTGATTTTGAAGTCCTTATTAAAACCCCAAGCCATATGATCCTGTTGAGTTATCAGTGTACCTAAGCACTACATGGTACAACTTAAACATTGGAGAAATTCTCTTGTCAACGATAAACTACCCAGATCTTTGTGTTAAGGTATTAAAATTCTGACTGAAGAGACTAATGGAAAGAAATAAATTCTTTTGTGTACTTTTACTTTGAATTTACCAGTGTTTATATCTGTGTGATGTTTTAATGCGTGTGTGTGTGTGTGTGTGTGTGTGTGTGTGTGTGTGTGTGTGTTTGCCTCAGATAAATGTGTGGAAACACCAGTCCTTTCAGCAAGGCTTGCTTGCAAAGTTCTACCTAAAGGCTGTTTTGCATTACTTTGGGATTCTATTCATTTTTGGAAGCATTGTCCATTAGCTTACTTAGGCTAGCTCACTCCAGATTCCAGCTGCAGGTTATGCCAGTTCTCTCTCTCTTTTTTTCTTCTTCAGTATTTCCTTTTGTCCATGCCAGGAATTCAATTTGGATAGTCCTTTCACATAACTTGCCTGGGGGGTCTCATTAATAGCTTTTTTTCCCCTTCAATTCCACTTGGGTTGTCTATTTTGTTATACAGTTCTATTGGATAATGACTGCCTTTGAAGAGTTGTGTTTTTAGGCCGTTGACACTTTCTGTATTTATTGATCTCCAAGCTGTGGGTTTTCTGCTTCTTTTAGCGTGTCACTTACAACCTAAATGAGAGATTTAGTGCCACGAGTTACAGATGTGCTTTTTCCTCACTTCCATCTGTTTTCCTGTCTAAGAAATTCTTAGGAAGGGATGTATTCTGTTTGCTGTAGCTTTAAAACTAAAATAAAAGAAAATAAATGTTGATCCTATCTGAAAGAAGACTGTTAAACACACGTGGACTTACCTAATTTAGTCTACTATAATTTAGAAAACAAGATTGTTAGTATAGTATTTAGACGAGTTATGCATTGCTAATAATCTTCCAGAGTTTTTGAAGTATCTAGGAAAACATGTGCTCCATTCTATTTGCTTCATCAGGCTCCAGTGGCAAATTACAAA